TCTCCCTAAAATGTGTTGTATTTATTTTTATTAGACGTAATGACATATTCAATGATATTGACATAATTAATTCACGTAATCTTAAGCTCCGGACTTCACAACGGTGATACCGTTCCCTTGTTTGAGTCAATCAGTATGATTGGTGTAAACAACAAATAAAGGAAGGAACCACAATACTTTTACCATTTCTGTAATTAGTATAAAACTTTATTATAAAAAAAGCTCCGAACTTATAACGGTTCCCGTTTCCTAGTGATAATCATTATGATAAAGAGGAGGAAAGAAAATTATGAAATGAATGGAATTAGATAATCATGTAAACTTAATCATAACGATAATCTTGTATAAAATATAATAAATCTTGATTAATGGTATACGGTCAAATTGATCGACATAGTTACGGTAAATTTGATCGACATGTCGATCAATTTTATTGGTTAATTGATTAGTACCCCTGAATTAATCAAAAATTTTACATTTTGTAATTGATTCACCCTAATGACGCGTGAGATCGTCTTGATAATTATTTTTTTTTGGAGATTTAAATTTGGTTTCAAACTCGTAAAGTAGTTTTTACAATAAAAAAAAAATGTCAGAAAAATTCGAAGGCTTCGAAAAGCACTTAGACCCTGATAATTTAAGCCTCATTTCAATACTCCAATTTCGTCGCTATAAAGATGATTTTACATATAGTAAACTATATGAACACTTATCTCAAAATTTTTAACGAGACTTTCGGAAATGCCTAAATGGTCTGAGGCTGCACTTTCTCTCAAAAAAGATGGATTACTGGTCAGTATATATATTTTTATACTTGCAAAGCAGAGAGAGATAGGAGATAGGAAAGAAGTTGGACTTTGTCAAAACAACCACCAGGCTACCCAACACGCTTGGAGTAGTTATGGATGCTCTCCGGTGGGCTTCTTTCTAAGTCTGCATGAAGGCTTGAAACATGCTTTCGATGCCAAGAACGCGCTTCATTTGCAGCCTCCTGACGTCATTCGGCTTATGTTTGGAGTTGATAATTTTTTTTTTGGTGCAGTTTTTTAATCATTTTATTGTTTATCTTGTCAAGCAACAAACACGAAATGAGGAAGTGGTAATATTTTGGTTGAATATAGAAAACGAAAGGGCGGAGCTCCAGATTCAACAAACTCAGGTGTGTTCAGTAGTTAGTTATATCAAGTACCAAGATACGAGAGCCTTATTAATGAAGTTTTCTGCTTATGGTTTAACAGTATCAATTCATTGCAGATAGGTCGATTTCTAATAATAAAGCACATGACTTAATTGAAGAACAAAAGTTAGATCTCATTTCAAAGCGAGCATTGGATATAGAAACTTGCGTCTTCAGAAAAAGACAAACTGTGGAAACATTTTCTACGACACCAAATAAGGTCAGTATATATTAAGTTTATCTAGCAAAAAAAAAAAACTATTAAAACTTTGACGCTTATGCATAGATCCTCAGAACCACCAATACGGAAGTGGAGTCAAATAACGATACAACATTCAGCGAAGAATCAGTGAAAACCTTTGATGGGTGTCACCAAGACACTGTTGAAACTCCTCCAAAATCATCTGAATCTGTAAGCGTCGACGAGAATGATGAGAAAGAGGATGAAGAAATTTTTTTTGAATTGGAAGAATTAAAAAAACGGTTTAAATCTTATTCATTAAATGAGGTACGCCCGTTTTGATTTATTTATTTATGTATATATTAACTGAAATTCTGTAATTTTACACATATATGTTTTAGTGGCTCGTAGGCACAATTAATGTGTCCAGCAAGTTCAAAGAATACCAAATGCAGTTAATAGAAAAATGTAATAAAGGAGTAAAAATAACATGGAATGATAAGTACGAAATATTGTAAGTATTTAAAATACCGATAGTCCATTGCAATATCATTGAAAATAAAAATATTTAACCTTTTTGTATTTACATTTTAGAGCATTTTCGTCAATAATTGTGTTGGTTAGACCATGCCCATATTCTACCTTTACCACTTATGAATGGGAACAAGTAGTTAATACTAATCCTTATGCTGTTAAAGAATCGATTTTGACTAGCCCCCTTTCATCCTCATTATATGAAGCTTGCAGTCACGTTGCAACGGGCTTAGATTATGATTTCGTATCATATGACAAAAGCGATTTAGGCAAAAAAGCTAGTCGAATATTCAATAATCTGTAAGTTATCTCTTTTTTCGATTACTAAAATGATCAGAGAAAATACTAAAAATTGGAAATAAAATGTTATTGGAATTTTGATTCTTTTAGTAAAGAAGATCTTTCACAGGCATCCAAAACTAAAATTACGGAAGATGAGCATCGGTTTCATTTTTTAGATCCATTGTTGAAACCATTTTTTTGTGGAGGTTTAAAGAATTATGAAGTAAAGTTAAATAAAAAAGTAAATGGATCACTTAAAAGACCAGATTTCAGTTGTAGAGTTGATGGTATTACGATACTAAATTCCGAAGTAAAACCATTGGGATGCACCTCTTTACAAAAAGATAAGGATTTTACTAAAGTACATTTACGATCAAAGAAATCAATAAATCAGCTGTTAAATAAAAAAGGGGGCCCAAATCAATCGATGTTTTTTTTGAACATGTGTATGTATTTTTTTTTGATATTTCATCATTTTTATTAAAATTTTAACAAAACACGTTTGACAATTTAGGGGATAATTTAGATTCATATTTTATGGATTTACAATATGACGGCATTTATCGTTCATGGCCTTGGCTTTCTACAAAATTAGTAACAGAAAAATCATCTTTTCCGTTGATGGTATTAACAATTTACCATTTGGCTAATATGGAGGTAAACAGTTTTTTTATTTTTGTCTTTGCTTTAAACTTTATAATGAAAATTTTGATTCCATTAAAATTATTTCATAGGAACAAGTACGGAGGATTGCAAATAATTACGAAGAAAGATCGGGCTCTTTCACTCCTCCTGATCAAATGCAATACATAATTGATGAACCAAATTCACCTCAATTAAAGGCATTATTGAGGAGGTAAATCTTGTGATACAAAAGGATCCCAAACACCTCTTATATAGGTTAGTGTTTAGCCAACTTTATACTATTTTTGAAAGGCATAATTTTAATAACTTTTTACATTTGTATTGCAGAATTTTTAACGTTTAAGAAATTTAATTTCTATTATTCATCTGGTATATTAACCAAAATTTTTTTTTTTTTTTTGCTTTTAAATTAGAGATGTGGAATATATAATTTTGTTCTTATCTCTCTTCCATACTTATTAAAACCTTGTATAAATTCTCTACACATTTCTTGAACTAACTGCATGGGTTTGGGTGACATGTTACGAGCAAATTTCTAATATAAATAATATAATGTTAATAGGATCGAGATTTATATGAAATTTCTTTATTATATAAGACATTTACCATAAATCCTTTTTTAAGGTTTCCAGGCAATTGATTTACAAGTTCTGATTTATCGCTAATGACCTGGCTTGCTAAGGGATCTTTCCAGGTTAATTCTTGAATAGAAATCTTACTCACGCCAGAATATAAATGCTGGTAAAGTGGGGACGTGTCCTTTCCAAGTTTCCTTTTCAATTCATTTATATTTTTTTCAATCTGATCTGAACTAAACGGTTGTTCCTTATCCGTCTTTATTGCCCCCATATCAAATAAGGTATAAACACCTTCGAAAGCAGTATCAAACTAATAAAAATACTTTATGTTTGATTTCAGAAATATATAAAAAATATCATCATTAAAATAACATATTATCAGTGCATGTGCAAAGTTATTATCTTTGTGTGGCCATCACGTTGATAATGCTTCGTGTGATACTAAATAATTTACATAATACATTACACTTTAACTCATCCCGACCGTGCAATGACCTTTTCACATAATAGGTTAGTAGAGTGAACTACAATACTGCATAACAGTCTATAGCTTATACACCCCTCCATTACATGCAAGTATCATTGGGGGTCGATTTAGCGAACGAGCAAAATATATGCAACAAGCTAACTTGTTTATTCAAAATTCGCTCCCATAAGTTGATCACACAGTATCATCATATAATAAAATCTGAAATATTTATAAAAATCTTTAACTAACCTGCGGTAGAATTCGAAAAATTCTTAATTGACGTGGAGAGCCTTCTATAAATGCATTGCTAGCAGATGCCACAGCTCGTTCTACAGTCATTTTCAACTCTGTTTGGGAAATCCAGCGGTTTTCTTTCATTCCAAGATAAATAACTGACGTAGCATTTATTCGACGTTCCTCAGCAATTGTTAAGAAATTGTAAATCTTATTATAAATTTCAGTAAACATGATTTATAAAAAATTTGGTCTTAGAGAAATAACGTAAATTGAGAAATATCCCAGCAAAGTGACATAGCTAAAAATTTTGTATACTACCCTTTTAAATGTCTCTATTTACGTTCTCTCTGAGTTTGAATTCATGTTGGGGGAGGAAACAGGAGAATATGCAACAGACCCTTACGCCAAAATTTTGCATTGAAAATCTTGACATTTAGAAAGACATTGGGGGTAATACAAATATAGATTTTTTTTATCTGTCTGGATATACTATTATTAGGAAAGTTTATCTCCTGCATTAAAGAAGGAGTCAATTTTATGTATGAAATTACTTTGTCGTATAAGCAGATGTCGCACTTGCACAGTGTATCACTATTATATCATATTTTAACGAGGATCAGGAACATGTTTATTTATGCTTTAGCGCCTTAACGATCGTCGCACATGCCTTATATGCGCAGGTAAATATGAAGCTAATATAATACATTTCCCTGCCCAGGTCGATCCGTAAGAGATAGCCTTTCCCTTTTTTGGTAAATTTTAGCTGGGCGTCCAGTCAAAATCATATGTTTTATTTCTCCTTCACAGGTGATACATTCAGTAGGCGATCTATATAAAAAAGAAAGGATCAATTTATTGTATTA